CCTACAGATGGGCAAAATCATCTAACACAGAGCCTATTTTATAATAAAGTGCTGACTATCTCATGGTTGTTTACCCTCCTGATCACGTGGCTGACTGGGAATTGCGGTCCATTAAGGCTGCCCAGCATCATGAGAGAGCATCACATCACATTTCACTAGCCTGGGAAAAGGTCAAAATTCAAAATCCAAAGTACAGTTTCTACTGAATGTGTATTGCCTTTGTACTATTGTAATGTTAAAAAAATTGTTAGTCAAACCATTGTAAATTGGAGACTTTCTGTATTTTGGTTTCCAAACATCTTACCTTCTTAGTTGTTCTCTGCTTGCATTCTAGGCTGTCTTTGCCTCTCAAAATGTAGAATTCAGAGATGACTATAATATGCCAGACCTACTATGACCAAAGTGACGTATATCAAACTAAGCCTTGCTTATCCTGGACAATACACATCAATGAGCACAGTACAGGTTTGCATTAGTGAGATTGACAATCACACATATTGTTGGTTCAGTTGTAATTAATACCTGCAGGTCTTCTCACCAACGGCACCAATAGTCAGGTTTCCCCATGCCCAATCCTGACTCTTATCCATAAATGCAACTGAATTAACCAAAGAGTAGTTTATGTTTATCTCAGTGACATTCCATGCTACATGAAAAGCAAGGGAGATATTTCACATCCCGTATCTACTAGTTGTCTGTGGTTTACTAGTTCATGCAAAACAGAAAAAGGTGGTAGTCTCGGGTAGATTGTGAGGAGAATGGGAAGTGTGACAGAAAGAACCAGTGAGAAGTGTCATTTCAGAGCACAGGAAATACAGAATCAACTCTCAGCTAATAAAAATTACTTTGTTAGAGTCTGTCAGTAGTTCTATCTGTCTGCCTCCAGCTATCACTCCTCTATCTCTTCTACTTTTCACAGTATACTCAGAATTCTAAGGACAAAAACTCTGAGTCAGGTAGACTTGGGGGAGAATCATGCCTTTGTCATCTATCTGCTGTGTGATCTAGACTAAGCAACTTAACCTCTCTGAGCTTCTGCTCATCTGTAAAATGAGAATAGTTTTACCAAACTTGTCTAGTTATGAGGATTGAGTGATAAAACTGCTAAAGCAGCTGGAACAGGGCATCTATTCACCTGGTAGTAACTATAAAAATGGATAGGCATATGAAAAGATTGGAAGGTTTGTTGGAAGACTGTTGAGAGCCCATTCTAATGCGATGGCTCAGATGAGAGGTACTGAGAGCTGAAACATGGCAACTATTCCAAAGGGTGGCCTTTGGGAAATCAAGGCCTCCAGGACAAGGTTCAAGCTCCTGGCCAGGCACAGTGGTTCACACCTGTAATCCCAGCACTTTGGGAGGCCAAGGCAGGCAGATCACGAGGTCAGGAGATCAAGACCACCTGGCTAACATAGTGAAACCCCGTCTCTACTAAAAATACAAAAAATTAGCCAGGTGTGGTGGTGGGTGCCTGTAGTCCCAGCTACTCGGGAGGAGGCAGGAGAATGGCATGAACCTGGGAGGCGGAGCTTGCAGTGAGCCGAGATCTCACCACTGCACTCCAGCCTGGCCAACAGAGCGAGACTCCGTCTCAAAAACAAAACAAAAAGGTTCAAGCTCCTTTGCATGGCATGCCTCTTTTCTCTCCAATGTGGCCTGCCCTCTAGCTGTACTGAACTACCTGTAGTTTCCTGAATATGCCTCGATCTTTCATACTTCAGTGCCTTATTCCTATTGTTCTCTCTGGAAGGCCAATCCAGTCCAACTAGAAAACTTCAACTCACCCTCCAGATTCACCACAGATACAAGCTCCCCTGCACAGCACATGTTAGGTGATATTTCTCCATGAGTCTCCTGCACAACTTGCAAGAAAAACACTGCATGCATTTTGATGTGAACTATATCTTCAAGAATGTTTGTATAGTGAACAGCCTTGGAAGACAAAGATAGTGTCTCCCTCCAAAGCAAGGCAGGCATGCTTATGGCACATTATAGAAGATTTGGGTTCTCTAAGTTTTGGATTCCTTTCCTGTAACACAACCCACTGCGTGTACAGGTGACCTCTGGCTCCCTTTGTGTTGCTGTGGGATTGGAGACCTGGGGATTGATGCAAAATTGCTGATACTCTGATTATTACTATTGCTATGAGCAAAATAATGTCCTCCATCTCTGACACTGCATCCGTGAAATAGTGGCAGGCTAACTTACTGGCTTGCAAGCAAGATAAAATTTGAGACTCCTCACATTTTCTGGTAGCATGCTCTCTCCTTTCCCATCTCATTCCACCATAGGAATATAAATTGCTCCTTAAATTCTGTTCTTATATTGTGCTGAACATTACAGGCGTCATCATAATATTCAGTATCTATATAATTTTTTTTCTTTTTTTTTTTTTTGAGACTAAGTCTTGCTCTGTCATCCAGGCTGGAGTGTAGTGACGCGGTCTCGGCTCACCGCAACCTCCACCTCCTGGGTTCAAGCAATTCTCCTGCCTCAGGCTCCCCAGTAGCTGGGATTACAGGCATGCGCCACTGCACCTGGCTAATTTTTTGTATTTTTAGTAGAGATGGGGGTTTCACCATGTTGGCCAGGCTGATCTTGAACTCTTAACCTCAGGTAATCTGCCCGCCTCGTCCTCCCAAAGTGCTAGGATTACAGGCATGAGCCACCACACCCAGCCAATATTTACATAATTTTCTTATAGCTGTATTTCTAACATCTATCCATGCCTGAAACACATTTTATGCTCATAATTTTGTTGAATGAGTGACTGTGGCCAGCCCTCAGCTGTTCCTCTAAGACTCTTCCCATTGCTGGCATATGTCCATGGAGATGCCCAGTGCTCTTGGCCTTAGTTCTAAACATCCTATGCTCCCCTCTGCTGCACACCCTTCATCACGTCTCCTTTCCTGCCCCTTCAGTTCTGGTGCCTGAGTTACTTCTGGCTCCTGTTTCCTCCTCTCCTCCTCTCTGTTGGAAACTGTTGTACTCCTCATCTTCACTTGAGGGGTCCCTCAGGACCTCTTTACTTAGTCTCCAACTTCCTAGACAACTACCAGGAGTAGAGAAAACTCTTATTCTATCATGTAACCTATCTTTTTTTTTTTTTTGAGATAGAGTCTTGCTCTGTTGCCCAGGCTGGAGTGCAGTGACACGATCTCGACTCACTGCAACCTCCGTCTCCTGGGTTCAAGTGATTCTCCTGCCTCAGCCTCCTGAGTAGCTGGGACTACAGCCATTTACCACCACACCTGGCTAATTTTTGTATTTTTAGTAGAGACGAGGTTTGACCATGCTGGCCAGGCTGGTCTCAAACTCCTGACCTCAGGTGATCCACCTGCCTTGGCCTCCCAAAGTGCTGGGATTACAGGCATGAGCCACCACGCCCAGCCCACGTAACATCTTAATTACACATTGTGTTAAACGCAAAATCAGATAAACATGTCCTTAAGCTGATGATAATAAATGCAGACTAGACAAAGACAACCCCAAGTACAGGACTTTGTAATCCTCTCCCAGAGACCTGTCTCCCAATTGCTCTCCATCTATTTAATGGCATTTTGGCACAGTAATTCATTATTCCCTCAGTCAACGAAGATCTATTCAATTCTTAATAATCGTAAGGCAATGTCCTTCACATTGTGAATAACACAAAAGTGGATTACGTATGATTTGTGACCTCAAGATGCTTACTGGCTCACGATAAAATATGTACAAGTTATGTGCCACAAAAGTACTGTAAGATTACAGGTAAAATCACATCTGCACTGTCCCTGAAAATATATTAAGCTTTGGACAGGTCTCAATGTCAGCATACCAAGGATATCATTGTTTTAAATGCAGTAAGTTGAAATTGCTAAATAGGCTGTTCTTAGTATAATGAGCTTAAGGGGGGAAGGTAGTGTTATCCTAATATTCTATTTTTTTTTAACTACTTCTTCATCAGGAGGGTTTATTTATTTATTTATTGGAAACACGCTGGAGTGCAGCGGCCTGATCATGGCTCACCCCAGCCTCTACTTCTGGTCTCAAGCGATCCTCCCACCCCAGCCTCCCAGGTAGCTGGGACTACTGGAGCGGCTAAGTTTTGGGGGTATGGGGGTCAGTGGTGGGTAGAGACGGGGGGAGGGTCTCCCTATCTTGCCCATGCTGGTCTCGAACTCCTGACCTCAAGTGATCCGCTCGCCTCGGCCTCCCAAAGTGCTGGGATTACAAATATGAGCCACCGCACCGGCCTAGGAGGATTTCCTGAACGTGCTAAAGGCAGTTAGTGTGTCGATGTCTTGGTGACCAAAGGTAGATTTCCGTCAGCAGCTTTCATGAAGGCTAGCTTTTAGCCTGTGCCCTCATCATGTGCCACAGATTTAGTTTTGGATTAGCAAATGTTAATCCACATGTAAACGCTATGATCCACACGTTTAGCAATCTGATTACATTCTTTAAATGTACGTTTCAACTCCTGTAATCCTTAATTAAATTTAGATGTGAACAAATTCACATTTGTGCCTTAGTTTAATTTATAAACAAGTAATCTATCAAAGCCTCCTCTCCCATAGCAAGCCCACAGAATCTAGAAATCCCTTGATCTCGCCTCTGCTCTCAGGACAGAGCCTTTTGTGTGCACAGCTCTCACAAATTAAAGAACTTGACTAACTTGAAGAAGAGATAATAAACCCTCTCCCCTAAAGGCGATTGTTCATTTGAGAGCACTCTTCGGAGATATTTTTAAGCCCGCGCTGCAACTAATGGGGGCAGGGAGAAGAAGAGCCGTGCCCAAATGCACGGGGGCATCTCCGGGGGCTTATCATCCAGAGATGCCTCCAGTGGAGCTGACAAATCTCTGAAGTGGGATAGAGTGAGATTTCCCTGCACAGGGCCTCTGCGTGTGAGGGAAGGAGGGGGTGGGCGGGGGCCATCAGGGGAGAAGCCTCCGGCCTTTCCCTGTCTCTCAACACCAGCCCTCCCCGGCCGCCTCCCCCTTCCCCAATCCTCAACTAGCCGCGGGAGAGGGGCACCGGAGGCTGGCTGGGCCGGGAGGCTCGGCCTTTGTGGCTCTGTCCC